CTGTGTGCGTGCATGCATGCATGGACTTGCAACACGCAGCGGGCGGCACAGCACACCAGAGAAGGAAAGATACGCATTTATATACAGTTGCACATATAGTGTATATATGTATAAATGCATATAAACAATCTGTCTACAGGAACCAGCCGCAATCCTTAAGGTGATGCCGCTGCCGTTGCGTGCTTTAAGACGGAGTCGAACGTCTTTGTATGATCTCGCATTGCATTCTCACTTCCCCAACGGCATCCTAATTAGGGTATATACGTGGCAGTTGCAGCTGCTTATTCAAATGAACGATTTAGAACATTTACTCGCATGCAACATTCATCGCCCGCTTCTCAGGCACTGGCGGGATTGTCGATATCCTCTTCCTCTCTTCTTCCTATGACGCTCGCCAGCACCGCAGCAGCAAACCCTCTTCTACTGCAAATTCCCACTGGTAGCCTGTACATGCGTACACCACAGCGTAGACAGAGTATGCAATAACAAAGAAATAGCCTGAACGGCCATTCAGAATAAGAAGTGATAAAGGGGAGACCATCGTGTTACAGAGGCATTCCCTCCTTTAAGGACGTTTCAATGTCTGCTCTGACTGGCTATCTACTTAACGGTCATTCGCAGCATTTCCTAAGGCTCGGGGCTTCGCCGCGTGTGCATGCAGTATGCATGCAACAGGTTGTTAGGGGGCACCTCACATTCAACATTTTTGCGGCTGCGTTGATGTCCGCTTGATCGACGCCATTCATGAATGCTTTCTGCAGTCCTCCGCCTGCGCCTTTAAATGCTCCTTTTTCTTTCAAGGCGAAATACCGAGGCAGCGATTCATGCAACAGTGTCCCTGTCAATACACCCCATTCGATCAAGTACCTGTACAGACGCATGCGCCCCAGCAACACGAGCAATATAAACACTCCACCACGTTTGTGCATACCGTCAGGGCTCATCCTGCATGCAAAGAGGGACACTGAAGGCCTCCGCTAACATCTATACAATACAGTGGTATTCACCGTAGGGCTACAAGGCTATTTTTGTTCTCCTCATACAGACTCTCGTAGAACCCCCTCGTCCCGTCTCCCTGAAGACAGCAAATCAAGCAAACCAAACGAACACTGCCCACCTTCCAAAATCATAAACCATTAACCCTACCTTTGGGTTTACAGGCCATTCAAATCGGGTTGATTTTCTCGCCGAACTTCCCGCCCTAAAGGGCTGTTCTGATATGCTGCATGCAGTGGTGTTTAACGTTTGTGGAGGGACACCAACAATAAAGGCTTTGGCACGATGTGCAGTTAAGTTTGGCCACTGAACACAATGATGCGCTTAGAGTGGCATCTGTCTGATTTTGCTCTTGCTTGTGTGCTGCCTCTGTAGGCACGTGGTGTCCTCCTCCCCATCTCCGCTTTGTTTCTTCTTACGTTTGGGGGAGTAATGAATTTCTGTCCCTGTTTGAAGTACTTTCGCGCGTCGTTAGGCAGCAGATTCTCCTCCTCCTCCGCTGTTCCCTCGCCCTGCGCTTTCTTGCGAGGCGCTCGAGGGGCCGCCTTTGCCTTTGGCGATGCCTTGGGTTTCGTTGGCTCCTTTTTCTTGGCAGCTTGCGGGGCCTTCTCCTTCTGCAGGGAGCATCCACGCAAAACAGCAGTCCATAGGGGACAGAAAGAATCATGAACTTGCCTTCTAGAGCACCGAGATTCATGCGTTCACATGCATGAAGAACTCGACGCTCAAATTACGACGAAACAGCTTCTGATTTGCTTCCATCATACAACGAAAAACAAGGGAAAATGAATTCGGAAAATGGAGCAGAAGAACTTTCATGGACAGCGCCACAGTGAGGCAGTTGACTACTTCGCTGCCACACTTCAGATTGTATGAAAACATACTCCAATGGAGAAAGACAGGCTATTGTACTGGTTCTCACCACTACAGGCTTCTTCTTCGGCGCTGCTTTCTTCTTCGCCACTCTCTGCTTCAAAGGAACGTCATCGTCGCTCGAGTCGGACATTGTGGTGTACGTACAGCTGGACGATCGGGGGAACAGCGAGAAACCTCGACTTGGCAGTACGGAAAGTGCGTATTTAGTCTAATGCTGGCAAAAATAGGGCAAGTGAATCCGTACGAGCAGGGTTAACGCGTAAAAACTCCAACAGAGCCTTGAAGATCGCGCAGCGAAAGTGCATAAACCGGCCGACTTGTTGCATGAATCAACAAGGAAATCTTCTGTCCGTCTGCAACTACTTCGGCGTTCTTGAGTTAAATTTCACTGCTCAAACTAATGAGGAGCAGAAACAAGTGTCTTTGGGCTCGCTCTCTCCCACCAGCGCCTCCGACAAGAGCTCCGGAAATTAGCAGCCGCTGTTCATGACTTGCATGCGAGCAGCTGCAAACAAGAATGATGAGGAATAGTAAAACCTCCAACTTGCGTGGCGAAAGCTCCACACACGACCGATCTTTGCTCAACATTTGCTGAGATCTCACGAGAAAGTGCCGCCGAGCGCATGCAGTCAATCTCGTGGCGGCTTGCGAACTATGGCTGGGGACCCTTAATGTAAAAACAAGCAAATACAATTAGCTACATTTAATTTTAAAAATGTCCATAAAGTGATGCAGTATTCTCTGGCTGAAGTAACGATGATTCCCCCTAACTTGCTCTAAGTTGTCGAAGGGCTCCGTTGTCTGCTACAGTCTTCTTCGATGATATCTCGCCTTCTAATTTCTTACATGGCTTGTTCTCTCCTTTCAAGACACTTATGTCCCTTGCGTTTTTCTTTCAGTGTTTCCCTTTCCCTTCCCAGCCCGCCGGTCTCAGCAAGTGGGCGGGGAAACTGATAGAAACCCCCTAAATAAAGAAAAGCAAAACACTTCTGCTGCAGCTGTGCTGCTGCACGGAAATAAAGTCAGTTCAGATGAACTGCAGGCGATGCCACCCAGAGCCGCTCGCCTTCTCTCAGAACTCTCATTACAACGGGGGGCCGCAAGGCACCGCACTGCACGCGGGGGAGCAGCGCGGCATAAAGCCAGAAAGAGCAGCAGCAGCAGCTGCTGCGCCAGCACCAGCAGTACCAGCACCAGCACTTCTTGTTTCTGGTGCAGTTACAATAACAGATCAGGCTGCTGCATGAATGGCATCAGTAGTAGAAAACGTATCAGTAGTGACAGCAACCGCAGTCCTTGCAGCAGCAACAGCACCAGGAGCAGCAGCAGCAGCAGGAGCGGCGGCAGCAGCAGGAAAGGCAGCAGCAGCATTCTGACTTCCGGTTCTGCCTTGCTTATAAGGCGAACTATAAGCGGCTCCTGCAACGGGGATGTTTGTTATTCTTTTGCATTTTCTCCCTCGTGTTTAACGCCCTCATTTGCTGTTTCTGGCTGTTTAGGGCTTAGATGTCTGCACTCAGCTCCCTATAGAGGTTGCTGCATCACTTTTCCTTTGTCTCCACATGCGCAGCTCCGGCGTGTGCATGCAGCTGCTGCTGCGGTTGGGTCAGAACAGCAGCTGCAGCGAGGGGAAAATGAAGGGAAGGCGCAACAGGACGAGGCAGCTGCAGCCGCAGCGACAGCAGTACAAGAGACAGCAACAGCAGCGACAACATCCCCGGAGCCCATAGCGGAAGAGACACCAGCACGCGCATCTTTCCTTGCTGCTGCTTGCAGCAGCAACGCATGCATTATCTTGAAGCCCCCGGACGCAACACCTGGAGGCGTTGCAAGGAGGCGCTTGATTCATGTTGGCCATCCGTGGGTCTTTGATTACGAGATCGAAAATATCAAACAATTCAACAAAACGCAAACGGGGGAACTCTTGCCCGTATATGATAGCGACGGTGAGGCAAAAGATATTCAATATGCTGCCCAAACCCGGCTGCTGCTGCTTCTGCTGTTACTGCTCTGTGCCTGTCGTTGCTGCGGCACATGCTGCTGCTGCTGGTCCGGGTGGGGGTGGTGAGGGTTTTATAACCACAGAGGGAATTGAGGTGTACAGGCAGATCGGATCGCCGCTGTCTTTGTTCTGGCCTGCAGGAACTTACCTTGGCTCGGGTTTGTTCAGCAGACAGGCGTCAGTGGCTATTCGAATGGTTACACGCAGCAGCAAAGCCAGCAGCAGCAGCAGCAGCAACAGGTGTGATAGAGCCAGTGATGCTCCCAATGAAGGACCCCTTAGCAAACTTCTTTGCGATCGATTTCGTGCAGCAGTCTACTGTCGCCGCCTGCGCAGTGCTGGGAAGCCTCCACCTGCTGACAGCACCAGCACTGACAGCCGCAGCAGCAGCAGCAGTACGGAGTTGCCGGATGTGTGGCGTGCGGTGGATGGGGAGGCTGACGGACTCCCAGGAGTTGAAGTCGATGTCTATGGATCGGTTGGCTACCTCTCTTTCTTGCTGCTGCTGTTTGCTGCTGCTGCTGTTTGCTGCTGCTACTGTTTGCTGCTGCTGCTGTTTGGTGCTATTGCTGCATGACCAGCGGTGGTGGTGGTGGTGCTGTTGCTGCACTCTTGGTTGTGCTGCTGCTGGTGTTGCTTCTGGTGTGTGCGCTGTCTGTGTCGTGGAAGTCTGATTCTTTTTTTGATTGTTATTTTCTGTTTTTGTTTTTTTGTTTTACTTTGCTACCTCTCTGGTCTCCTCTTGATTTGCTTTTTTGCTTTCGTCTTCATGCTTTTTTTTGGGTTTTGTTTCTCTCTGTCTCAGGCGGCAGTGCTCCGCCTGTCATCTCAGTCGGTGATGCAGCACAAAGATTTGTTTATTGATTTAACAAAGGAGACAGTTGATCCGAGTACTCTTTCTGTACAGACACTCAACTCGAAGAAGGAGAAGCTAGCGCAAGTCCGTTGTTAGCTCGCTGCGGCCACCCGTATCTGTCTGTTGTCTTCTCGTTTCCCCTTTTCATTTGTGTTTCATTCGAAATGCGTCTGTCTCTCCGTCTTTGCGGCCTTTAGTTTGCCTCTCTCTAGCTGTAAGAGCAGCAGCACCATGCGCCGCCGCAACGACAACAGCATCAGCAGCATCTGCAGCAGTAGCATGCACCCACCGCAGCAAGGAGACTGTTTCTTTCCTTTCGTCGTGGTCTCATTGTTTTTACGCGCATGTTTGTGTGTGTGTGTGTGGCCCTCTCTTCTTCTCGTCTTTATCTCTTTCTTTCTGTCCTTTGTCAGTCTCAGTTTGTGTTGTATGGGGCATATGCCTGCCTCTCCTCGTGTTGTGCATTATAAGGCATTTGGAGTGTCTCTGTGCAAATATACACATGCTTGTGCATTTGTTGGTTCATGGCGGAGCTGGGCAGTTTATGCGTCTGAATTCAGGT